TGACAAGAAAGACGCGTTTGATGGTGTGAGAGTAGCAGTCTGGAAGCTCGCGGTCCGCACGGGCTTAACGTCAAAGCGTCGAGCTATGGCGGCTAGCATAAATTCACCCCACTTAACATCTCTTCATGTCACAAGTTGTGTGCAGCGCTATCAGAGGCACAGGCGCGCGAGCTTAAGCCCTGAAACATGCTTTGTTTGTAGGATTAAGGCTCATTCACACAGCCTCATTTTCTCACGTTAAGTTACGTTACGTTTAAGTCACCGAAACATTCGTGTCTTGAATGTCGCGTGTCACGCTTTCTCCTTGAACTGGTAGCCTCGCTTAATATGAAGCACATTTGTCCCGTTGACATCAACGTAATATTTCGTAAAACATAATTTAACGTAAGAAAATGGGGCAGTGTGAATGAGCCTTTACTCAAGGAAGGAAAGCGCATTATGAGGCAACTCACTCGCGCTGCAGAATCGAGGATCCTGGGCTCAATCCCCACCCATGCAGATGAGCACCGTACCGGCGTGCGGTCGTGTATCACCACTGCGTGATGCACATTAAAGACCCCAGGCTAGCGGTTGTACTGCACTGGCTAAATTTCTCATCTACAGCTGGGAGACTCGTCGCCCGTTGAGGCAGACCAAGTTCTAGGCTGTATAAACATACACACAACCCAATTTCGTTCGAGCCCGTTTCTTTCTAGCAGTTCATGGGCACGTAAAAAAAGAGACATGATACACGTGGCTTGCACTGACGTTAAAACAGCGGCCATTCGGATGGCCTTGCTGCCGATCGCGCACCTTCTACGGCCCAACTCAGGTACGACAAATTTCAACATGGCGGCAGCCACGAAAAAACTACCTATACCTCCATTTTGTACCGTAACTCTCGTTGCCGTCGGAAGGACGTAAGTTGCATTATCGCTAATTGACGGCAAAGCGTACTAGACGAGCACGTACGAATCTTCGTTCTCGAAATCGGGAATATCCTGCGCCCCACGCCGAATGCTGATGAAAACGTCAAGGTCCACGAGCCATTTATAGAAAGATGCTTCGTTTCATCAATAAACATGGCAGCGAAATGGTTAGGAGGCATCGTTCCGAGTTTTCTACTTGTGACGTCGTTCCTGAATAGCGTATGACTCATTGTAAGTCACAACAACACAATGTGTGTAAAGAGTGCAATAAAAGCTTCCTGTGATCGCGCGCTCGGGCAGCTATATACTCTGAAACTTGACCTTCCGAATAACGAGTAACCTTTGTTGTTAGAAGCAGAAGGAATTCCTCTGGATAGGTCATACATTTCATGACTGGCCTAAATCGGCCCAAGACAGCGGCTTTGAGACATAATATATTTGTGACAGAAAAAAAAAAAAGTGCCCCAAAAAACATACAAAAAAAAACGGGATAAATTAAGATAGAAAAATGCGACCTATAGTATACGGTCTGCTCTGCATCATTACATAATCCGCACGACCCAAATCTTAGTTCGTACCGCTGGACAGAACGGGAAAATCCCGGTACATAGTTGTTGGCTAGCCATCCATTACACCGATTCCATCATCTGGAGCAGTTCCATCATTAGACACACACGACAAAACGCGCAGGCAAAACCAATAAAGGAAAAAGATCCTCCAGACAGTCGTCTTCCCGCGCGCACAACACAGGGGGAAACCCGGGAAGCGGCAGCCTTCTTCGTAGGGGCGCGTCCTTATCTCGTCGGCCGACAATCGCCAAAAAGCGCGCGCGCACCTCGAATGCCTTTTCTTTTCTTCCTCTCGTGATCACCGCCCGCCGACTTGGCAACTTCTTCCTGTTGCTCCGATCCTCAACAGTAGCTTCTCTTCCGCCTCACTCCCCCTCCTTAAAACGGGGTACAGACAACAAAAAATATCATAAAAAACTACAAAAAAAATTAAAAAGAAAAAAACGGCCCCTGCTCCCGTTGTTTCTCCGGGAATGTAGGTACACAGTTCAACGCGCGATACGCCTCTTCTTCCGCCATCGCGGAAATCTCGCTCCTCCTCCTCGAAGCAATCTCACCGCCGTCTCGTGAGGTCTACGTCGTACTCCGTCGTACAAGGTTCGGCGTACTGTACTACGCGGCACTACACGGGGTGCCACGCTCGAATGAATACGCTTCTTCCGGACCCAACAACCTTCCCCGCGTACACGGCGCCGCGCTCCGATGTACACCGTGAGTTACGAGGAGCGGAGCACGCCACGTTGCTTCGGTCGGTCCGCGCGTGGGCGGGGACGGAGTACGTACAGCGAAATGCACGTGCACGCTAGACAGCGCGCGCCGATTGAGAACACGAAGACGTGCGCTAGATGAGCTAACGTCGTCGCTCTTCCGGTTTCGCCCGCTTCATTATTTCTTTTTTTCTTTTTTTTTTTTTTTGGGGGGGGGGGGGGGGGGGGATCATTATTGTTGTTACGCGAGCGACGCGTAACAATCCTTCCGAGGATTAAAAAGAAAAGGCGAAAACAACTGGGGTTCACTTTAGACTTATACAAAACAAAGGAACGGAAGAAGAAAAACAACAAACAAAAGGAGGAAAGCTCCGAATCGGATAGAAGGAGATAACAGAATCGTCTCGAAGTCTATGTGTTGGCAAAAATGAGCGGGTTCCTTCAGGAAGACGCGTTAAACTGCGTCTTATTTACCACGCTGCGTATTTTTCATCCGTGGGCTCCGCTTCGACCACGCTCCGTTGAGATGCGCCCTGGAAGCAGAGCGCTCTGAACGACGGGACCACGGAAGCGAGTGTAGGTAAACGAGTAATTTTAGGTTGTTTCGTGAGCACACTGTATTAGCTGCTTGTCAGAAACGGGCGCTGTTACTGTTCGTGGACTACGAACGCGAGACTGCCTCGTTAAGCCTCGGAAGTAACGGACGATTATGTTGGAGGTTCGTCGACGTGTTGCAACTGCGCTTCGCCTTAACAAACGGTGGCGTGACTCGTGAGACGCCCCCCGGAAGGTCGCACGGATTTAATGCTACATTCATTAACCTCATGTTGCGTTAATTACAGGCGAAGTTATCGTTGGTTTGAGTGAAGTGAATTGGTATCATTTTTAATAGTTATAATAATTACTGTTAATATAATTATTAATTCACATTTGTTTCGGAAATCGCCAGGTCGAGGTGTTTGGGCAGAGAACGCGAGTGCACACCATCGGCTCTGTCACGAGCCTCTCGCTTGAAAGCCTGTCATGGTCGCTCACGAATCCATGGAACGCGAATATGAGTTTTCATACCAGGACCTCTGAAACCTGGGTTAAAAAAAAAAAAAAGTGGATTGTGTATATTTGGGAAAGCAAAAGTGATATTAGTAGGCAGCACAGAAATGTCAAAGAAACCTGAGAGCCTGATCACTAAACCAGAAAATCGGGCAGCCGTGTCGCTGTATTCATTCATTTCCAAAATGTCCCCCCCCCCCCCCTTCCCAAAATAAGTAAATAAATAAATAAATACATATATATGTGTTTTTGTTTCTGTATTTACAGCAAAAATGATCTACAAATTGCCGAACGCTCATTCTGCGCCCAAATGTTGCGCTAGCGATCCGTACCGGATGCCAATGTTTCAGAACTGTTATCTAATTAAAACGTTATAAGTGAGTTTCTGGCTCTCGAATACGTGTAGCTGAACCGCGCAAGTTACCGAAAAGGGCGAAAACCAATCCGCATTTTTCCATTAAAACTTAAAAATAAAAAAAAAAGATCAGCTATAATTTTTGAATGAGATAACGGTTACTTCTGAAACTTTTACATCTGGTTTTGGACCGCTAGCGTTACATTTAGCAGAAATGAGCGTTAAGCCGGAGTGTCACACTGCTTATACCTCATGCAAAAGACAGTCTGCATACAGATTCGAATGCGAGTCATCGCGAGATCCGTGCTTCGAATGCCGAATGGCAATGAGTTCAAAGAGAACCACGGATACTGCAGTTACTCGTGTTTGCATACTGTCACTTGTATAATGTACGAGGCAAAGCATAGTGCAACTTTGCGGTAAAAAAAAAAAAAAAAAGCTTTTTGTACGTGATTTGCCAGATTTATTTGAGGTCTTCGTGTCAGACAAGGGATGAAGGCGAGATAACAACATAACGACGAGCTGATGCAACTATCTGACTGAACACTCATAAGCCAGATTATTCTGGAAATATGTGGCTGATTATGTTCATGTTTTGCTACGTTATTTTTCTTCGTGTTACGTTAATTATTGCATTGGTTAATGAATTATGAGGAATATTTTCATTCATGTTAATTTATATTAATGTTATTTTAATAATCCACGCAGGGTGTTAGTGCTTGTCTTGCTCTGTGACTGGACGATTTTATCGGCGAGTGCCGCAATCTCATTGGAGAGATATCGAGAATGCCCCCAATCCCACTAGACCGACAAACAGAAACCACCGACACCGACGAGCCTCAAACACGTGCAGCATTCACACGAATGGTGGTAGCTTTTCTAGGCTCGGCAGTCCCTCGGTGCTCGTAAAGTAAGCTTGAGCTTCGCGTGCATGGTGCACGTGCTTGGCTTGTATCGGTTTGTCACTCTAGTGGGACTCGGGAAGATGTAGAACCTGCATCCCGGCATATCACGATACGTCGTTTCCCGTAAGGCAATTTTTTGGTAGAAAAATAAACGTTGATCGTACATTTATTTACTCACTATACTCCGTTAACAATTACTAACAAGCCTGTACCGTGCGCGAGGTAGATATATTTTTAGAACTCGCTCACGGCCAAACGGCGCGAGTAATGCGAAAACGCTTCCTTGTCTCGTCCTCGGACGTTATTACCGGCGGACCATTGTGCGAAGCTGGACAGTCGCCGCGGGTACCCCGTCCAGTAATTAAATAAAATATCCGCGCCGGATGTACGGGGCACGATTACGGCGTTACTTCGCTGCTGTCCGCGGCGCTTAAGATGCCGACGACACCGTTGCCAAATCCGTCCGCGAAGGTCGAACTCATTTTTCTTTTTTCCTTCCCTTGCAGGGTGCAGAGCTCAGATGCCAAGACGGTGAGTGTACCACCCCCGAATCTCTTCTTACCTCTCCTCGCGCGTGGTCTTCCAGAGAGCGGGGCATTCGAGCAAAACTGGTTTTCCTGCGTCGCCTCGCATCTTCTGAGAAGCACAGGGAAAGATACCTTGGAACTCATGCTTCGCGTTTCGCAATTTTCCTATTCCCTGAGTTTTACCTTCTTCTTTTTTTTTTTTGTTTTTCATTTTTACGAGCTACTTTCGAAAATAAAATCAAGGAGAGAGAGAGAAGGGAGGGGGGGGGGGGGGATTCTGTTTAGAGGGGGCTCATATTTGATTACAAAACAAGCGCTCGGAGTGTCTATTTCTGAACGTGCGCCGTCCTCGGATTATCTATCATGGCGTTCAAACTTCTCTAAGGCAAATATTTGGAATAACAATCGACACACTTTCGGCAAAAAAATTAATAAAAGCAGCTAACGTTTTCTCGCTTTAAAGAGGTTATAAGGTTGTTTCTGAGGTCGTCGACTTATGTTTAGAACTAAATCTACGGCCTGTAAGCATTCTAAAGGGCCCAAGATTGGATCAATACGCGCGTCGGATGTTCCTATTAAAAACGGGATCAAGGATCGCGACAAGCCCGTTTTTCGGCGATTCGGCGCACAAACCACAGTGCGCCGTCGGACGTGCAACAACCAATCGAGAGCAATTACTTCCCGCGCGGCAAAGGGACCGACCTTATATGTCTCTATCCTTTTTGTTAAATACAATTTCCCCCCCTTCCCCCCCCCCCTTTTTTTTTTTTCGAGGCAGTGACAGGCGGTTTTACGAGCCTACCACCAGCATCGCCTCTATTTCCTTTTCCAAGTACATCGCTAACAACAACGAGCAAAGGCTGACTGATTTTCGAATGTGTGCGATTCGCGCGCGGGAAGCGATCACTCGCGATTGGCTGCCACACTCCCGATAGCACCCTCCGGCTTCTGTGCCGAATTGCATAAAAACGGGCGTGTCACGATCTTTGATTCCGTTTTTAATAGGGAAATCACACGCGTATCACTATAATCTTTTTTTTTTAACTTTTAGAGTTTGATGATTGAGTTATGACCATAAATAAGCAATCTCAGAAAGTGCTCCTTTAAGACCTGGCATTTAATAGAGCACCGTGATCGGCAAGAGTACAAGGTGTGTGACGTATATACGTACGCAGCGGGTCACCTCTTCTAAAGAAGATTGGTGATGGCGATATGAAAGCGAGCATTTATGCTTAACAAGTGATAAAAATGAATTCTCAACTTGATCTTTAACACCAGTCTCGGGTAAGTTACTTTTAAAAAGTAACTCGTTACAGTTACAGTTACTTTCAGGAAAGTGTAGCGAAATTACCGTTACAGTTACCGCATCAAAAGAGTAACTCATTACAGTTACTTTTAAAAAGTAACGACGTTACTTTTTGGTTACTTTTCTATAACACAAACAATTTAGGAAATACTCGAGAACGCCCCTCACCAAGTTTTATTAAATAAAAGTAAAAAAGTACGCTTTTTACTTCATATTGTATCAAAGCAGCAGTTGTTTCTCGAAATTAGTGTCTGAAAGTTTCCCTCGTTTGATGGCGAACACGTCCTTGCCCTTGCTGAACGGAACCCGCTCAACCAGAGCAACGAACAAACCCCACGCAAACGGCAGTAAATTTTGCCTTGACTGTTGACACCATGTCGGAGTAGTGGCGCAAATCAAAATACGAAACATGCGCAGTGCGGAGCAGTGGCGCTAATCAAAATACGAAACATTCCCAGTGCCCTTCGTGTGTATTGTTGTTTCACGGTTGATTCATCCGATCAAAAAGCGTTTGCGCAGAAAAAAGAACAACCGCAGCATAGATAGTGCTTCAAGATACTAAGATGTAAGTGTTCAGTCATAAAGTACACGCGCGCGCGTAAAGATAACTAGATTTCTTTTTTTTTCATCACATCAACACGTGGCTATTTTCGGGTCGTGACTCGCGAGAAAGAACGTATTCACAAGTTTGTGCATGGCCAACTTGACACTCGAAATGTCGGAACAGGCAATTTTGAAAGTGCAAGAATAGCTAGTTGTACTCGTTCAATCATATGTTATTCATAAAAAAAAACTAGAAAGTAACGACCAAAGTAACGTCGTTACTTTCATCGTTACCTCAGAAAAAAATAATAGAGCTACAGTTGCGAGTTGCATTTTTTGAAAAAGTAACTTGTTACAGTTACAAGTTACCAAAAAAGTAGCGAAGTTACAGTAACGCGTTACTAGTAACGCGTTACTACTTAAGACTGTTTAACACTGACTCAAGCACGACACATTCGTGTTTTCCTGTTTTCAACACTGTTTGGCACTTCTGTCCAGCGCAAAGATAGAAGCCGCAGTTGAGCTTTTGTATCTGGTATTGTAGCAGACACAATATTGGTTTGGAACAGGCATTGACGCATTTTGAGCAGTCGCTAACATCTGTTACCACAAGACATACAAAAAATTTAAAAAACACGAAAACACGAAATGAGTATATATTTGTTAACGAGTGAGGGTTTCCTCTTTGATATTGAAGCATATAACTTTTATTAATAAAAATACAAAAGACGCAAATGAACAAACAACTTTTTTTATATAGAAACACGGTTCACATCAGAGAAGGTTTCACTTACAATGAGCAAAAGGAACAAAAATGGTTGAAAGATGAATGAGAACGCAACACTTCAGTTGAAATGGTCTCTCTCCCCCTCCCGCTTTTACACTCGTAGTTTATTTATAGCCTCTAAATATAATTTCCGTAAAATACCGACAAAAGCCAGCATACCCGCTAAAACTTTCATCAATGAAAACAGGTACGTCCCCCCAATTTTTTATGAGCCCACCAAAATGAAAATTCTAATATCATACACTGCAGAAACAACCATCTTCAAATATCATGAAAACCTACAGCTCTGCTCTAAAAAGCGACACTCTTTAGCGGTGTTTGGGCCAAAATTGAGTCAGAGATCACCACCCTTTCATCCGACTACCGCGTTTACTCAAATATAAATCTTTTTTTTTTTTTTTTTTTTTTTAGAATATGTTTTATGGCTAACCATATCCGGTTAGGCGCCATGCAACGGAAGTCGGCAGGCCGTCTGCCAGCCGATCGCAGACGCAGCACTCGTCTACTCACTGAATGGACACCAGAACCAGTCGAACCTCTTCCTCGAGTGCCTCTGCGTTACTCCCGACAGGGGTAAAACATCACATGTGCAGACATAACGGCGGCGCTCTGCTCCGTGAAACGAACGCGCTCCGGTCTTCCCCAGAGAAAGAGCGCGATAGACGACAGAAAAGCAGGAAAAAACAAAACAAAACGGCAGACTTCTTTGCCGCACGGGTTGAGGTAGTTCCGAGTGTTTGATTCTCTTTTGCCGCGAGCTGGTGCTCGGCGCTGCCGCGTTCCAATGCTCTCTTTTTCCTACGCTCCGCACGCTCCGTCTACTGAGTCTCACGCTCCAATAGGCTCTGAGAGAGTCGCATTTACACTGCACCCGCAGAAAATGGCGCCCACAAGTAAGACGACGCGCTTACCTTGCACGACACAGGCCCGCTTCGCGCCATCCAGTCTCCACATGTGTACACCGTTTCTCCGCACTAATACATTGCAATCTGTAAAAAGGCAGTGATAACACATTCTTTTACCACTGCTTTCGCCATAGTAATATGGCAAAGGGGCGACTTTTTTTCTTTTACTTCCTCGGCAGAGATTTTTTTTTTTTTAGAGATTAATTTTACTATTACGGCCAAAGGTGGCCGACCTGTAATAGTTACTGAGCATAATTTCCGAGCCCATCGGGCAAGCCCAAAAGCTTTTCCCCTTAGATAGCCGCTGCTCCTTGCACACTGGTACAAAGCGGTGAAGCTCGACGCAAACGCCACGGTGCAAAGCGGTAAAGGTTGAGGCGAGCGGCGCAAGTGCCACGGTCAAACTCGAGCCACAGTATGAAGGCATGTGACAGATACGGTAATCGAGTGATGTTAGAAGGAGTAAAATACTCTGGTTCTCTGGTATCGCAGTAGCCACCATACCAGCATTTTGCGAGTTTGACTCGCGACTCGAAGCTCCTGACATTACCGACATCATCTGGAAGTTCAGACGATGACGTCGCTTACGCGGTTGATGAGTAATCTCTATACCACGGTTCACCTTAATGCAAAGCGCAGTAAAATACACATCTGTACCATTTTCCTCCCCTTCCACTTTTCTAAAGATTAAAATTTACCAATATTTTTGTTTGTATTTTTATTTTTTGCTTCGTTCAATCCCATTTTAACGCAGGCGTGGCGCAATTTTTAGCATAAATGACAATTTGGCGCGAGATGTAGTAGACTTTCGTTCGCGGCGCAATCTGGGGCGAATAACGCAGCACTTCCATCACCGCAACCGATACCAGAAACACGTTTTTTCGGTACCATTTGCCACGACCGTTGTTTCAACAATGGTTTGGCAATTACCGAGCTCAGTTGACACAACCAAACAGCGGCCCTTGCTGGCTTCGTCGCAGACCGAAACACCGCGACTATTATAAGCTTCCAAAGAGCGCAATCCGTTCCGGCCCTTTCCGCCGCCGCCGAATACCCGTGCCCCAACGGACCACAGCCGCGACACCAGTTTCCTCAAAGGCACACACACACACGTTCAGGCGGAACGCGGAGCAAAGCAGCTGGGACGTATTCGGTTCATTGCGGGTCTACTCCGTGGCTTCGCGGAAGGTCACAGTGGCGGCGCTCCGCGGAAGCTTATAGCTGCACTATTCTTGCTTCCTGGGTCGATTCGCTCCGAGCAACGAGCGTGAAACGAGAACAACTATCCCTCCGTGTTTTTCCCGTCTTCTCAAGCTGTATTCCGTTGCACCCCACACTGGATCGCAGCGGAAGCCACACGAGAATCCAACGACGTGACTATACGGACCGCGCGCGCGTCGCTGTTTCTCTCCCGAAGGTCACGTGATACTCAGGCGGCGTTGGATTGGTTCAGATGGCTCGTA